CACATTTTTAAGGCTGGACAGATTTAGGGGACTATTAAAATGAAACAGGTTCAAATCAAATCAAATAATAAAATACAACAATCTAAACACACATTCTCCCTGCCTCCACACAGTATTTACTTACACAAGTTTATGTGTGTGAATATGAATATGTGTGTGAAAGAGATGTGGATACCCCATACTGAGGCTACTCCAGGTAATTTTGTGTAATTCAATTATAACTATCCAATTATATCCAATTATAAAATAAGATTACCTCTAGTCCTATCTAACAAATTTTACTACTATGTGGCATCCATAATGACAAATGTAAACTGGGGGAGATATTTTACTTATTTTGTCACACGTGGACACCCACAAAAATCACCCAAAGCCCCCCTTAATTGGTGATATGTTGAGTTCCCCCTTAAGGGTTCATTAACACTTGATATGGCACTGTTTGTGTGATCACGGCATGTGTCACATGTGACTCAAGTGTTAGAATCCCTTTGTGTTTTGGGCCAATAAGTTGGCATGTGAAAATTTCTGCTTGTACCTCACTCCTCCCACCCGTTTCTGTGTTTCTCACTTAAGTGAGAAATTATGGCATTGACGCTGGAGCCATTAGCAAAATTTATTAGGCCCCACGTAATCAGACAACTGTGAGCTGCATGGTCTCAGTATTTCATAAGAGCATTTCTGAACGCAAAACACATTGACCCTTGAAGCAGATGGGCTACAGCAGCAGAAGACCAAACCGGGTGCCATTCCTGCCAGCTAAGAACAAGCCACCAAGGCTACAATTCACACGGGCTCACCAAAATTGGACAATAGAAGATTGGAAAAAGGTTGCCTGGTCTGATGAGTCTCAATTTCTGATGCAACATTTAGATAGCTGGGTCAAAATTTAGCGTAAAAAAAACATGAAAGCATGCATCCATTTTGCCTTGTATCAGTGGTCCAGGCTGGTGGTGGTGGTGTAATGGTGTGGAGGATATTTTCTTGGCACTCTTTGGGCCACTTAGTACCACCTGAGCATCTTTTACATGTCACAGGCTACCTGAGTATTGTTGCTGACCATGTCCATCCCTTTATGACCACAGTGTACCAATCTTTTGATTTGATTTGCACAGAGAAGCCCTGAACATTTTAGAAATTAAAATTAAATGAATTGCTAATTACTACATTGAAATAAAAATGTAAAGCCTGTACAAATATTAGAAATCGTGATTATAAATAATTGGGAATCATGTAAAAAATTAAATAAAAACAGTGCACATTTCATTTATCTATTATAACATTTATGTAGTTTTGTTCGCTTGGCTGTTTCCTTATAAAAGTCCAAAAACTTGTCAAGTTTTTCGTCAGGTGTCTTTTTTATTATGTTATATGATGTCATTACGTTGCTGTCTTGCCGCCAGCCAATTGCTGCTTTGCTGATCGTGGTTTCGAGTATCGATCATAGCACGTCAGCTGTCTTAACCGCTGCTTGTGTACTGCATCATCACTGTGTCTGTCACGCGACTCTGTTGCCCTTTCGGGCTTGAACTGATGGGAAAACTAACAACATTATTAACTGTCTTGATATTTACTTTGAAAGCTGAAGCTCGCGATTATGGTAAGGGGCTTTCAAACTGTCCTGTGCACTCGCAAATCTTTCTATGCTCATGCACTAGATATTAATTCTTTTCGCACCTGAATTAAACGTTGTCAAATGTTATCAACCAATCAGATTTCAAAGATGGATCTGTAATTTATTTATAATTTAATACTACTACTAAGTAATAATAATCAAATATTAGAAATGAATCGGGAGCTTGGATTATTTGTAAATAACCTAGTTTAACAGTTT